CATCTTGGTTCAGCCTCTGGGAGGCCTCGAGGGCCTGGTGGTGGACATCATTTTCCCTGATTCATGTTACACTTAATTATCTCCCTCTGACAACCAGGCACAGATTTCTAGTGTTTTTCTCTTGTCGTTCTTCTATTTTTTTTTTTGAACTCAACCCTTAACACCTACCTATTTTGGCTCAAATGGAGGGCCAAGATGAGTGACAACTTCCAAGCGGAATCAGTCAATAGATTTTCAATTTCTAACACAACACTCTTCCCCAGGTTTAGTGATGATCTCCAGGATTATTTTTTTTCCCAAACTTCATATTAGTTTTGCAATAATAAAAATGCCTTATGCAAAAAAAAGTTAATAATTTTTGAAGCTGTATAATGAATACAATGGGTTCATTATTCTATTCCATTTGCATGGATGCATAGAATTTATTCTTTTATTCTGTTGAGCTCTACATATTAAAATGAGCAAAGATATGAAACTCATGATACCTAAAAGATGTGTGTGTTTATGTCTATTATTGAAAGAAAGATATAATAGCCCAATTATATTGTAATACAGAAATATTATCCAAAACATAATTATTTTCACTTCTAAATGCCTTACCCCAGTCCCTGAGCATAGGCCCACATTTTTAGAAGATGGCATTAATATTGCCCATATCATTTTATGTTCTGCTTTATTCATTTCATAGTTGATCAAAAATATTTTTCGTATTTCCACACAGTTATATGATAATTTTTAATATCTGCATAATTTCCTATCACGTTGATAAAACAACACTGAGTCCATCCATCCCCTATGGAGGGACATTTTTATTATTTCTATGTTTTTGTTGCCATTGCTGTCATTGGAGATAATGTTACAAACCCTAATAAAAGATGCTGAATATAGAAGGTCTTATTGAAAATTTTCATCAATTTTTCCCTTTTCCAAAGAGTATTTGATTATCTCAGAACTCATAGTGTCCTTAGTTTCTGTTTTCATTTTTTTTCATGGTTTTCACACTTATGGATCATCTTTCTTAATATTTTGTAATCGTCTCCTCTCTAACTTTAACCTTAAGGAGCATATTAAATACTGCTGGCACAAGCACGCAGGTCTGGGGTCAAACCAACCTGAACTCCAATGCTTTATCCAACCAGTTAATAACTGTGAGAACTCAGAAGTGTGATTGACTATTTCTAGGTTTCAGTGTTCTCACCTGCAAAATGAGAATCGTACAGACGTCATAGGTTTATTATAGAGTACTTGAAGAAAACTTTTGTTGCTGCTCTTAATATATATTTTTGTTATTACTGTATTTTGTTTGAATAGCCTGCAAAAGTTGAACTCAGAAAAAACAGGACCAGGTCTGAAAACTGTAACAGAATTTTTTTGTTTGCTTTTTTGGTTTGGTTTATTTGTTTGCTTGTTTTCTTTCCAATTTCCATTTTCATAACCAGAGAGCACTCTGCTGGCAAAAGATCAATTTTAGGGTATCCTCATCTAACTGGCCATACTAATCTTCCTCTGAGAAGTCTTCCCCTAATACCACACAATATTCATAAAAATAAATTTTAAGGCCAGGCGTGGTGCCTCACGCCTGTAATCCCAGTACTTTGGGAGGCCAAGGCCTCATGGGCGGATCATGAGGTCAGGAGATTGAGACCATCCTGGCTAACATGGTGAAACCCCGTCTCTACTAAAAATACAAAAAATTAGCTGGGCGTGATGGCACGTGCCTGTAGTCCCACCTACTCGGGAGGCTGAGGCAGGAGAATCACTTGAACCCGGGAGGCAGAGATTGCAGTGAGCCAAGATTGCACCACTGCACTCCAGCCTGAGTGACAGAGCAAGACTCCATCTCAAAAAACAAATAAATAAATAATTTAAAAATAAATGGCGACTGGCCTAATGAATGAGCTTCCCTCATTTTTCATAATCATGGTGATTCACTGAGGTGGTTTTGAAGTTTTCCCCATTGTTAACAATTTTGCGGTCAATAATTTTGAGTAAAAAATATTTCCTTCAAAGGAGGATTATTTCCTCAGGACGAGTTTTTACATTTGGAATAACTGTGTCAGACAATTTAAATTTGACTCATTTTGAAATTATGCTTTTCTAAAGTTTCTGCATTGGGAATAACTGTGCTTTTCTAAAGTGCTGTACCAATTTTCTTACACCAGCTAAACCTTTTTTGGTTCAGTAATAACTAGAGGAAAGAGGATAGAGCATCCAAAAATAATGAATTCAGTTCATTTCAATAAGACAAGATTCATGTTCTGGGAAATGTCATAGGTGCATATGTCTTCTTTTATATTTGTTGTTTCAGACTATGTTTGTATATCAAATAACCAAACAAATGTTTCCATGGTAAAAGTATTGTAGCTTCTACTTAGCAACATATAAGCAAAGATACAGAAATTAATCTGGAAAATGAAATTATGATAGGGGAAAAAACAAAAAGAACATTTGCTGTGCTAAAAACTCAACGGACTGAGCAAAAATACAATAAATCTTGATTAGGTTCAGTCTAATTTTGTCTTCCTTTATGTATCTCACAAATGTTAGCCGAACAGCAGATTGCTTAAAATAACATTCTGCTTTTAAACTTTTGGGCTTACAGAAATCTTTGCTTGTGGTTGTTATTATTAAGAAATAGTGATTTCCCTTTAGTCTTAGTTATGAAGTTGTTCTAGATTAGAATGCCAAAGTGTGGGACTGTCTAAGCTTGGAATTCCCTCCACCATCCTTTCAGTCTCTCTCTCCCTCTCTCTCTTCCCCCCAACCTTCTCCCTTTCTCTCTCCTCTATCTCTCTCTCTTTCTCTCCTTTCCTATCTCCCCACTTCCCAGGCAGATTGCTTCTATTCTGTCAAACGTTCATTCACCTTTGCTAATGAGTAGCTAATGGGTTTTGGCATCGTGTGACCCACAGGGATTGACAGGGCTGTTGGATCATGGGATGGCCTGGTGTGCTGTGATTGTGCCTATGGGATCCTTAAATCCAGCCCCAGAGCCATTTCCTAGTTTCCCCAATAGTTTCCTGGAACATAGGGTGTTTAGAAATAAAGCTCTATTTTAAAACCTCTGATTCACCACTTTATCTGGCTAACATCCTTCCCTCTTGGAATTGATAACATGTTGACTGTGAGTCATAATGGTAACTTCCTCATGAACATCTGATGTTGTGAAATTAACAAAGTCGAGAACTCCCCAACAGTTGAAGCCAAGAAATGAATTATAAAAATGTACTTCAGTCACAATACCAGAGAGAATCCGGTTATGAATTAGTAACAGATGGGAAAATACTATTCACTTCCAGTTTTACATAAATGTCTATAATGCTTGTTCTGATCATAAGTTTTTATTTCTTCCAGAGCTTCATTATGGTTCTAGCAAGATTCACCATTAAAAAATATAATAAAAAGCGTGGGTTTGGGTAGATGCTATTTTTCTTTCTTCCCTCTCTGCTAGTTAAGCAAAAAATATTTAAAAAAAATAAAAGTAAATAATTCAGGTGAACAATATACATATCATTTCATTGCTTACTTTTTGCTTTACAAAACAAATTATTATGCATTTCCTCAAACCAATTAGTCAAGGGTATTTATTTTTCTTTTTTTAGATTTGCATCTATGCTATGAAAGGAAACTGTTAGCTAATGAAATCTCTTAACTCCCTTTTTTCTCCATATTACTACAGCTCTCACACCACCTTTAAAAGTAAAACATACTGAGTATTTACAGCAAATTCCTGACATAAAAAGTGTCTATGTGAACTCACCAACAGTTGAAGCCAAGTGGTTAGATCATAGACAAAGAAAGAAGATTAATGCTCTTTGGTGTTCAGTTTGGTAAAGCCCTGATATTTTTCCCGGTCTTAATACTAATATCAGGCACAAAACATTAGCCTTCTTGGATTTCTCCCTACAACCTCCTTCCCTGGAAAATTACCACCCACATTCTGGACCTCTTGACTGTCATCTTTGCTGGTGCCCTAGCTAGTTTCCCTGAGTTGTCTGGGGTCAAGGTTGAAGCCCTGGACCTGGATGATCCTCACTTCCAGTAGGCTGAACCACGTTGAGTCAGCTGTCTACTTCCGATCTTGAATGGACTGCAATATTGTGAGGTATGGGATCCGGCTACCTGAGGGAAGTTCAAGGGCAGATGATATAACCTTGAAGTGTGGAAGATCGGTCCTCCATGGAGTGAAACTTGACCAAAGGGAAACAGGGGATAGAAGAAGCTAGAGTAATAAATTCCTCCTCGTTTCTCTTTTATAGACCCTTCTCCTAATTGTAGATCTTTCTTGCAACACTCTTCTGTGAACATCCCTTCTGCTGGCCACCAGGCTTGCTCAGCATACCTGATTTGCCTCTGTGCAGCACTTACAAAGTAGTGCTCAGCAGTGAAATGCAATGCACAGCATTACCTCATATCTTTCCCTGCCTTCCCTTCGTTTCCCCCAACAACCGTCGTTGTCCTAGGCTTTCAACTCTCAGAGTATCATTACTGTAATCCTTGCCTCAATCTCTGCTTTCTAGAAATGCCCTCTTCTACTTTGGGCATCGTAATTATTGGTACTGTCCCTTTTCACTCTTTTAAGTGGTAGGGACAACTTCTTTCCAGAAGAGAGAACTTTGGGAAAAAATAAAATAGAGTGTAGTAAGTTGAATGGTGGCTGTAAAGAAAGATAGGTGCTGATCCTCAGTACCTGTGAATATGGCCATATCTGAAATAGAGACTCTGCAGGTGGAATTAAGGATCTCAAGACCTGATAATGCTGGGTTTAGGGTGAGCCCTAAATCCAATGATGGGTGTCTTTATGAAACAGAAAAGGAGAAAATACAGAGAGAGACACAGAGAGCAAGGGGCCTGTGCAGCCACAGGTGGAGAAACTCTAAGAACTGCAGCAGGCACCACGAAGTAGGAGAGAGGCAGGAGATAGATTCTCCCACAGAGTCTTCAGAAGGAACCAACCTGGTGACACTGTGGTTTCAGACTCCTAGATTCTAGAACTGTGAGAGAATAGGTTTCTGTTGCCTTAAGCTGCCTGGTGTATGGTAATCTGTTATGGCAACCCTGGAAACAAATACAGAGAGGATGAACATTTACAGGTTTTCTTTTTCTTTCTTTCTTTCTTTCTTTCTTTCTTTCTTTCTTTCTTTCTTTCTTTCTTTCTTTCTTTCTTTCTTTCTATCTTTCTTTCTATCTTTCTTTCTTTCTTTCTATCTATCTGTCTTTCTATCTATCTTTCTTTCTTTCTTTCTTTCTTTTTTCTAATGAGAGAGGAACTGGGCTTGGTTTGATTCATGCTTGTGTTTATGATTTGGAAATTATCCACATTCCTCGAATCCCCTTTCAGATATGTACTTCTTGCAAGCAACAGTGGTTGGATCATAGACAAAGAAAGAAGATAAATGCTCGTTGGTGTTCAGTTTGGTAGACCCCTGGTATTTTTCCCAGCCTATAAACTCTGGTTTACTCTAAGACCTACTTCATGGATGCTTTCTCGTCACCTGCCCTCTGCAGTGGACTGAGCCATACGTCCCAAGCAGAAAGTCTTTCTCCAACCTGGTGAACTCCGATTGACCCTTCAAGAACTAGCCCAAATGTCATCTCTCCTAAGACGCCTTCCTGATTTTTCCCAGTCATTGAGCACTCACTCCGTCTTCTGTGCTCTTGAAGTGCCTGTTCTTTTAGAGCACTATTCACCCTTTACTGCAAATGTAAATATGATTTTTCATCTCTTCCACTAAACCAGTGTGCATTTATTTGTGCTCAGGGTGGCCCATGAATTCCTACAGAAAATAAACAGCGGGTCTTGTTTGCAAGGCAGGATGCTTAGTGCAGTGTCTAAGAACAATTCCAAATTCAGAAATTATGTTCCTCTCATATCTTTTTCATTCTAGCTAAGCGGCTTACTCCCCATAGCCAATCTTCCTTCCTAAAGGCAACACTTTATTTGTGAAAGTGCTTTTAAAAAAAAAAAGTGTGGGGGATATAGGCATTATTTTAGAGAGACTTTCTAAAGAACCATAACAAGTCTATTTGAATCTTTTATTTGGTATTAACTAGATATTTTATCATAAGTGAGCAGGGAGTTTCTGGTTCACTAGTCTTTATTGCTTTCTTGAATGCATTTCAACCTTTTCCATAGTTCAAGACCATATAATCCCCAGTCCTTTTTTCCTTCAAATTTTAACTCCTTCGCTATGTTCCTCATAACTCCTCCTGTTAACGTCTCTCAGAATTCATCGCTGAGCTGTCACCTTGAATGAAGATATGCTTTGAACTCATGGTGAATTGTGCCTTTTAAATAGGACCGTAACAATGGGAGTAGTTCAGCTTGGTTCACCCTTAGTCAAAAATACTTGTTCCAAGAATTTTTTTCTCCCCTCGATTCAGAGTAACCTGAGGGAGCCCTGCTCTGTAGCAATGGGGTCTATAATAGGTTTATCTTAGGAGGAGTTCTAGTCCCTGATCCTGGAATAATTAAGGAATGTTCTTGATGTCCCTTTTGAATTCCTGCAAAAGGGCACAGTGAATATTCACTGCAGTTTCCTACTGGGTATATGTATATATTATATATACTTTTTTTTTTTTTTTTGCCTCTATTCTTCCAACCTATTCTGTTCAACATCTGGCACCACTGTCTTCCCCAGGCTCATCTCCTTCAACATATTTTGTGCTTTAACCGCAGAAAACTGTTTGGAACCTGTCTCTTTGTGTCTGCACATCCCATCCTTTCCAAATGGGATGACCTTTCTCTCTTTTTGCACCAGGAAAACTCATCCTCAGCAATCAGAAAGAAACTTCCCTTCACCATAATGCCTGATGACTCAGAGGACATTTTTCTCGCCCTGAAATAATCTATTGAGATGTGAGTCTGTTCTTTGTTTCTTGTGCTCTAGGAAGCTCTAATAAATGAGGTACACTTTTTTCTGCTCCATCAAAAGACAGTGGCTGAAACTTTCTTTCCTGAATTTAGGTGTCTAGCCTGCATGGAGCTGGAGTTAAGGTAGTACAGGCATTCTTGACATCCCACCAAACACACGTTAATGAGCACTGTCTTAAGTGATTCTGAGCAGAGCAACTGCTTATTGTTGTCTACAGAGACGTATGCTAAGGAGTACAGAAAAAGGAAAGGATCGATTCTATCACAGGAATAGCAGGGTGAGGGTTTATGATAAAGCAAAGCCTGGTTTGGGAATGTCAGAGTGTAGAGAAAGCAGTATCAGGAGATGGGCACACTTTAAGTGGAAATAAAGGAGGCAGGAAGGAAGCTGGAAAGCCAGGAAATTAAATTGAAGGTGAGAGAGGTGAACAAGCCTAGATCCATCTGTAGAGTTCCTAAGGTTTGAGTCAAGATCCAAGTCTGTTCAGCGATATACGGTCTCCAGTTCTATAAAGGGATGGGTCAGAAAATTACCATTGTGTGAATGTTTAATCTATGCCCAGCACAGTGTTAGGTAATTTGATGACAGCATTTCATTTATTCACCAAGTGACCCTGTGAAGGATGTATTATTAAGCACGCTGCTCAGAAAAGGACACCGAAGCTCAGAGAAGGCCTTTGAGAATCAAAATGTGAGTTCCATTTCAGTATGTCTGAGCGTAAAGATGCTCTTTTTAGTCTACTAGGTCAGTGGATCCTTTTGAAGCCAGGGATCTAGGCCATACCTGGTCTCATATAGGTATTGTCCCAGTGGTATCAGCCTCTACCTCACAGGAGAAGGAACCCAGGACAAATAAAGCCCATATCACCATTTGGAGGCACCAAATCAAGTTCTATAATGCCTAGTCCGGTCCTGACCCTTAACAAGATTCCCTCGCTACCCAAGAAGGCAGCGGAGCAGTTAGAAACTTAACTGTCAACCTGGAAATTCTCTAAGCCCTTCTACCTCTCTCAGCCAATTGCTTTTCCCCAGCGTGAGCAGTAAAGGCCTGTTGACACTCATAGGTGGAAGGCTTCCACCTCTCTTGTGGGGATGAATCTTTGGCTAACTGTGTTGAGCCTCTTCTGTCATTATTATTGGTTTCTTTTATGGCCTCCCCTGGAGCTTAAGACTTATTGTAAGTATCAGCCCTGTTAGAAGGTTCCAGAGGGGATCATTGGAGCTTTATGGAAAATTTTCCATCTGCTAAATAACCTTGAGAAAAGAGTTTAGTTACTGACTCCCTGACTCATCTCTCCACCTTCCCAGCCAGTCTCTGGGGGGAGTTTATGTTTCTGACATCAACTAGAACTTGAGAGTTTCGCTCCATGGTTGACATAAAGCATTCATTTAATGACAGAATAAATTGGAGTTTCTGATTGACCTTGTTATGTCCTTGTCATTTAAACCTGTTCAAGTCTGGAGTGCATGCTCCCAATCCACCTAGTATGTGCCTGCCCCCTCCACCCTTACATGCATATAGATGACATTTTGTTTGCCCTCTTTCAGAGTCTGGAAAATAGATACATGGTTCCAGGCTCTAGTTCTTAAATCCCTCATCCTCCATTAAGCTCCTTGAGATTACTCTGTGAATCACTATGGTTTAAGAACACCATGCCTTGAAAAAAATAGATTGATATAAGTATGGATTTAAAGACTTTCTCAGGCTTTATGCTACCCTACAGCTGAGACAGGAGGGGAACTATGTCTTCATTCATCTAGGGATCACATGGGAGCCTGTGAACCACAGCACATTCGACCATCAACCCACCATTTCCCCCCAGAAGTGTCAGAGTTGAGAGTGAGCTGGGTATACAAGAAGAAGGTGCAAGGCATCAGGGAAGTCACTGAAGCAGGACAAAGGTATGTTGCATTCGGCAAGATTATGCTGGCATGGAACTGCAATGTGACCATAAGTAAATATCCAAAGTGTGGATATTTACTGTAATATTTACTGTAATAATCATTTTTGTACTTGTAAAAATCATGCTACAATTATTTCTTGCAATTTCTCCATGAATAAATATCTTCCACCCATTCTACAGATGCCAAAACTGAATCTCATACAGTTGTATATGTCTTTGTTTTTTTAGATCCTGAGTGTGAGGCTTGACTTTTTACTTTTTGTGTGCCAGGAGATGAACCTGAGGTTAGGGTTCAAGTTAGGCTGGGTGTGGTGGTTCATGCCTGTAATCCCAGCACTTTGGGAGGCCAAGGCAGGCCGATCACTTGAGGTCAGGAGTTTGAGACCAGCCTGGCCAACATGGTGAAACCCCGTCTCTACTAAAAATACAAAAATTATCTGAGCATGGTGACATGTGCCTGTCATCCCAGCTACTTGGGAGGCTGAGACAGGAGAATTGCTTGAATCTGGGAGGCGGAGGTTGCAGTGAGGTGAGACTGGCAACTGCACTCCAGCCTGGGCAACACAGCAAAAGTTTGTCTCAAAAAGAAAAAAGAAGAAGAAAGAAAGAAAAAAAAAGAGATTAGGGTTCAAGTTTGTTGAGATTAATTTGAATGATGATTCTGCTATTGAGTCTGCTAATGATCTTGAGCCCAGGAAGCATTAGGAGCCTAAAGTAAATAGACCCTGGAGCCAATGAGTCTGGATTTGTAGCTTGTCTTCTCTAGTCTGGAAAATGAGAACTATAGTGTTTAGTTTCTGGAGATTTGTTGGGAAGTAAGTGAACTACTATTTTTAAATAGATGCTCAATAATTGTTGGGTCTCTGCTTCTCACAGAATAGTGTCAAATGTTCATTGTTTCTAGTATAGCAAACTGTCTCACCCGTCACCTCTGAACTTCCACAGATGTTTATCCATCCCTATCTTAGAGAACCTGGCAACTTCTACTTGCATTATGCACAAAATTAAGCCTAGTGTTACAAATAGTGGGAACAGGAACTTATCACTGAATGTATTACTCAGGATTCTCCAGAGAAACAAAACCAATAGGATATATGTATAGATGATGATAGATAGATAGATAGATAGATAGATAGATAGATAGATAGATAGACAGACAGATAGATATAGATAGATAGATATGTTGATAGATAAACAGAGACAGATATATAGGTAGATAGATGGTTAGATAGAGATATATAAACAGATTTATTATAAGGTATTGAGTTGATGCAATTTTGGAGGCTGACAAGTGCCAATATCTGCAGAGTGAGTCAGCAAGCTGGAGACCCAGGATAGACAAGAGTGTCATTTCAGTCCAAAGGCCACCAGGCCTGAAACCCCAAAAAAGCAGCCGATGTCTAAGTTTCAGTTTGGAGGCAGGAAAAAGTCAATTTCCCAGTTCAAAGGCAGTCAGGCAGGAGAAATCTGGGGGAGGGTCAGCCTTTTTGTGCTATTCAAGCCTTCAACAGATTGGATGAAGTCCCCTCACATTAAGGAGTGCCATCTTCTTGACTCAGTCTAATGACTTACATATTAACCTCACCCAAAAGCACCCTCACAAGAATGCTCAGAATAATGTTTCACCAAACATCTGGGCACTCTATGGCCCAATCAAGTGGACACATAAAATCAACCATCACACTGAATAAGTGAACTTCTACAAACTGGGCCCCACTAACTCCTCCTCTACAGACAGACACATCTTTCCCCCATCTTTGTGTTTCTCAGGCCATATTGGTTGCTCCTGCCTGCCTCCAGAGAGTTTCCTCTGGTAATTAGAGCACAGGAGTTAAAAATGTTATCAGCACTTCATAGTCACTCACAGAGAGCATTAGGACCCAGTGTTCCTTGGGTTCTCCAACCAGCCTCTCTGCACCTGCTCCAGAATCCTCCTGTCATCTGGCTCTTTTCTTTCTGCCTTTTCTATGGAACCTCTGAATCCTACACATTTGATGCTGAAGGTCTTCCTCAAAGCTAATCAGGGTTTTAAAAATGCAGCTCAGCCCGAGTATGGGAGAAAGGAAATTGAGGCTTAGGCATAGCCAGCAACTTCCCCCAGGCTACCCCACTAAGAAACCGTGAATAGGAGATTTGAATACTCTGCATTGCTCTTTGCTCTGCTGGCACTTCTCTTTTAGACACTAGAGAAGCCAGTATTAGAAGATGAAGTGGCACCCCAAAGAAAGAAAAAGATAAACCGTCAGAGGAGATAGGGATTGGAACAGAATAAAAGATAAAGAACTTCCTTCTCCAAGAGCTCTGTTGGGTAAGTCATCAAAAAAAAAAAAAAGGTATACTATTATTTTGTGTGTCTAGCAGTCATAGTAGCATATTTTTTACAACAATCATTGGGTGTGGTAACCTTAAGAAAGGCACTTCCTTGAGGATTTTTAACCTCTAAGAGATCGACGGTCTTGACTCTGGTGAAGTCAGGTGTGTGCTGGGTCTTCCCAGCATTGCCAAGCTACAGAGAGCAGAGGCTGCATCCTCCCCCCTCATCTATCCCCTCATTGCTGATTTTATGGAATCAACCACAGTGACGAATGGCTCTGCATTTGGATGGCTGTCCCAGCTCTGGTCACAGCTGAAGCTCTCTATCACTGTTGACGTATGTGCACTCTGAGAGTTCAAGTACAATTGGCCATCTGTCCAGGAGGCTGGAGCCATCCTCAGCATTGAAATAGCAATGGAAAGAGCCAGCTCTCCTCCAGCAGGCACCTGGAGCCCAAAGCTTGCAGGCACAGCCTCACCAGCAACTGAACAGGACTGGGAAGGTCCCCAGTTCAGCAGCAGGTAGAAGAAGGGGGTTGTGCAAAATAAATGGGAGTGCACAGCCATTACCTCTGAAAGTGCCCAAGAGAAATGATTCCCAGAGTGAGTGGGGCAAAAGGCAGAGGGCGTGGTTCGTGGCTTCAGTCAAATTTGAATGTATTTGCTCTATTCCCTGCAGGATGTGCGACCTTGAACATGTCACACTATTTTCCAGTTGAACAATTTCTTCAACTGGAAAATAGCAATAGACTCCTTTTTTTTCCTGCTACTCGGACCATTGTGGGAATTACTGACATGAAAATTGGCTTTGTCCATTAGAGAACAATGTACTGTGGTTAGCACTGTTTCCTCGGTTTGGTCAGCTATGGCCCACCTGCACAACATAGATTTTATTATTTATGGAGGGAAATGAGGGGGGGAAGAACCAGATGGTGTGGCTCAAGCTCATTTTAGGAAAAAAGCAATATAAATATATATATATATATATATGCCTCAGAAATGTTGACGGAAAAAAGAGCCAAATGAAGATCCTTTAATTTATTTTTGTTTTCATTTATTTATTTTTTTAAGATAGAGTATCTTTCTGTCACCCAGGCTGGAGTGCAGTGGTGTAATTTTGACTCACTGCAATGTCCACCTCCCGGATTCAAGCAGTTCTCATGCCTCAGCCTCCTGAGTAGCTGTGATTACAGGCACCCGCCACCACACCCGGCTAATTTTTGTATTTTTAGCAGAGACAAAATTTCACCATGTTGGCCAGGCTGGTCTCAAACTCCTGACCTCAGGTGATCCACCTTCCTCGGCCTCCCAATGGTCCTTTCCTTTTAATTGAAAGCGTGGCACATAATCAGGGAAAATTTAAGTAGCACCTATAATCCCAGCACTTTGGGAGGCTGACGCAGGCGGATTGCCTGGGCACAGGAGTTCGTGACCAGCCTGGGCAACATGGTAAAATCCCATCTCTACTAAAATACAAAAAATTAGCCGAGCATGGCAGCGTGCACCTGTAGTCCCAGCTACTCAGGAGGCTGAGGCAGGAAAATTGCTTGAACTCAGGAGGCAGAGGTTGCAGTGAGCTGAGATCGCGCCACTACACTCCAGCCTGGGCGACAGAGCGAGGCTTCATCTCAAAAAATAAACAAATAAATAAATATAAAGCCATAATAAATAAATAAATCTTCTCTCTCCCTTCCTCAGACTACCAGGTCTCCCTCTCCCATGAAACCACTGTTGCTAGTTTCCTGTATATCCTTCAAGTAACAATCAATGTGTGGACAAGAGGAGCATTCTATAAAAGGTACTTTTTACTTCGCTTTTTATCACTAAGTATCTCTTGTTCCTTATCCTAACGTGTATATGTCTACACCTTTGCCTGACTGTGCAGTATTCCATCTTATGAATGTACCATTATTTATTGTATCAGTTTCTTCTTCCGTAACAAGTCTTTTGTTATTATAAACAATGCAGCAAAAACAAACATATTACAAAAATCATTCTTTGTGTACATATAGCAAATGGTGGGATAAAAGCCTGGCTGAGTATGATACAGACACATTTATTCCCAGTTTGACAAACCGATCGGCCCTTCCAGCAACAATGTATCCAGGTATCTGTTTACACATAGCAGCACCAAGAGATTTTACTTTTCCCTTCCGGAGCATTTGCCCATAGTATCTATGTATATTTTTATTTATGTTTTGTCTTTTGGTTTTGTTGAGGGGTTGGGGGCGGAAATGCTGTCAAGATAAATGAACCATGAAACCCAATTTATAAAAGAGCTACACTCGATTGCGGCAAATGCAGGGATACTTGCATCTCAAATGCACCCCTGCAATGACGTCTGTGGGGAGCCTATGGAGGCAGGTGCCTCACCGAGAAGGCCTCTTGCCTTTTTATTTTTGCAAATATTCAGCAGGGATGGAGGGAACTGCGTCTGGTCTCTCCATTTTCGTCCTGGAGAGAAGAGGACATGAAGGAGAACAGAAGGCAAGGACAATACATTCCACTCACATTTCTAAGAAGTCCATGACCGGAAGCTGCCACAAAAATAATGCAAAGGTCTGTCACCACTCACAGACGCGAGGCCTCACAGGAAGCCCACTTGAGCTGAGAGGTGAAGTTGTTCCCTGCAGATGCGCACATGAAAATGAGATAAATAGTGAACTCTTTGAAGGTAATTTATCCACCCCTCACTACCTGCCTTCCCAGATACACAGACAAGCCTGTGTTTGCCACAAGCAGAAAAGAAAGGAGAGATAGGTTGCAGTCCCTTCGAGGCTACCCCGGGTCAACTTTATCAAAATGATAAAATGTTTTGGGTCTTGGCAGCCCCCCTGGGCTGACTCTGGGTTGGGCTTCCTGAGGTATTAAGGGGTGAAAGAGGTGAGTGCACGGCTCTTCCTGGTGCATCCCAGGGGCATCTCTTATGTCGCCGCTGATAGCAGTTTTATCAAGATAAATCTAGTGCTGCTCTGGAAGGATATTAATAAATTATCTAGTAATGAAAAATGTGAGAGGAACCATACTCTTACATCAGGCCTGTGATGATTACTTTGATAGATGCACTGGCAAGATTTCCTTGACAAGGCAGAAATGAGAAACACGACACATAAACCTTTAAGGGTGACCTCAGAGGAAAACAGAAGTTGCTGGATGATACAGAAGCAGAAACGGGAAAACCAGAGCTCCGAGGCACCGCGTGTCAACCACCAGATGGATTAGCTCTGCTGATCAACCAATCATGGAGTGTGGAGCCAGAGGCAGAAAGGGAGGAGAATAGAGAAATAAAAGGGAGGGAAGAAGACACAAAAGGCTTAGCTGTAGTCACAGCAGTGTGGACTCTCGATTGACACGGACCTCGGTTGGAATCCCAGGTGTTTCTGGAACATTGCTGGAATACTCTAAGCCTCAGTTTCATCATCTGTCAATGAAAAGTATGGTAATAGCACTATAATATGGTTTGGCTCTGTGTCCCTACCCAAATCTCATCTCAAACTGTAATCCCCACATGCTGGGGGAGAGGCCTGGTGGGAGATAATTGGATCACGGGGGTGGTTTCCCCTGTGCTGTTCTCATGATAGCGTTCTCACGAGATGTGGTTGTTTGACAAGTGTGTGGCTCTTCCCCCTTCTCTCTCTCTCTCCAGTAAGACGTGCCTTGCTGCCCCTTTGCCTTCAGCCATGATTGTAAGTTCCTTGGGGCCTCCCCAGCCATGTAGAACTGTGAATCCATTAAACTTTTTTTTTTTTTTTTTTTTTAATAAACTGCCCAGTCTCAAGTAGTTCTTTATGGCAGTGTGAGAATAGGCTAATGCACACCAAAATTGCAGAGTTGTGGGGGACTGCATACAATAATAACTGGAAAGCTTTGGGAAGCAGTAAGTACTCATAAACAATAGCATAATCACTTAAAGTAGTGGGGTCTATGTGAAGAGATGAGAACTGTGGTTATGTTTACTATGAAAGAAGCAGAAACTAAGATGAAGCTGTTGAAAAGGGGGACCTGGGTGCTCAATGTTCCTTAACACAAATCATTGAGTTCCTGTTGCTCTATTAGATTCTGGGGATGCTAACTGAAATTGGGCATTGCTTCACTCCATAAGGAACACAGATTCTAGTGTGGGAGACAAATGTATTAGTAGACAAGTAATCAAAATAAAGTAGAATAAGGGCTAGAAGAAAGGAGAGCACATACAAACTTACGGGGTGGTTTTTGAATCAGACTGAGGGAAGGCTTGCTTGGAGAAGGAAACTTGAAATGGAATTTTGCTGATAAATAGGACTCATCGATGGAGTGAAGAACGGAAAATGTTAAAGATGTTTCTGGTAGAGCAAATTTACAAGAAAAAAATCTGGGAATGGCATGGGATTTGGTGCAATTGTGGTACAGGATGGAAACCAGGGAGTATCCACCAAAAAGAAGAAGTTAGAGAAGTAAACCTGGCCAGATTAATTGAAGTCACGTTGCGAGCATGTGTGCAATAATGTAGTGAAAAATCACTGACTTTTTAGCATCTGTTTCTCCCCTATGTTAGCAACTGCTCCTTCATTCACTTTCAGACACTTTCCTTTCCAGCACTCCCATTGATTTTTGAGCTGCAGAACTGCACGCAGAAGGCTGGGGGCAGGGCAGAAGAGCAGGCGGAGTCCTCAGAGGCACACTCACCTGCTAATTATTTGTATCTGAACCTCCATGAGTACATAGTGCAGCTCACTGAAGGCTAGGGGGGCATAAGGACTAAGAGACAGCTTCAAAAAATCTGAAAATAACTGGGCACGGTGGCTCACACCTGTAATCCCAGCACTTTGGGAGGATGAGACAGGTGGATCACCTGAAGTCAGGAGTTCAAGACCAGCCTGACCAACATGGTAAAACCCCATGTCTACCAAAAATACAAAAATTAGACAGGCATGCTGGCCTGTGTATGTAATCCCAGCTACTCGGGAGGCTGAGGCACAAGAATCACTTGAACTTGGGAGGTTGAGGTTGTAGTGAGCTGAGAATGAGCTATTGCATTCCAGCCTGGGCAACAGTGTGAGACTCTGACTCAAAAAAAAAAAAAAAAAAAAAAAAAGAAGAAGAAGAAGTGAAAATATGCAGGTGGGCTGTAGAGAAGAAAGAGTTCTCCAAGGTCCAAAGAGCTGGAGCCTTGGTAGCGAAGGAGAGACAGAGATCGAAGAAGTCATGCCAGGACTCAGATCCCAAGCCCTGCTGAAGGAATAATCTTGATCTTACGTTCAAATCATTTAAAACCAATGGTGAACTGAAGGACACTGAAGCTGCAACCCAACCCAAACCCAGTAAAATTAGGATGAGATTAAAGGGAATGAACCCTTCCACTCTAATGTGGATGTCTGAGAAGGGACAGAATAAACCATTTTCTGGGGTAGTATTTCTTGACTCAGGCTCTAGTCATCTTGTATATACAATGTCTTTCTTTTTTCTTTTTTTTCTTTTTTGAGATGGAGTCTCACTCTGTCCCCCAGGCTGGAGTACAGTGGCACAATCTCAGCTCCCTGCAATTTCCACTTCCCAGGTTCAAGTAATTCTCCCATCTCAGCCTCTCAAGTAGCTGGGATGGGATTGCAGGTGTTCACCACTACCTCTGGCTAATTTTTGTATTTTAGGTACAGACAGCATTTCACCACGTTGGCCAGGCTGGTCTCGAACTCCTGATCTCAAGTGATCTGCCTGCTTGGCCTTCCAAAATGCTGGAATTACAGGTGAGAGCCACCACATCCAGCCCACAATGCTTTTCAAATACAATTCTAAGATATTTAAAAAGTAGGCAAATGTGCTCAAATTAGCTAGAGAAAAAAAAAACTGATTGATAAACACACAAATGACCTAAATGTTAGAATTAGCAAAAAACACTTTAAGATAACTACTATCAATATGTTAAAGAATCTAGTGGGAAAATTGAACAATATGCATAAATAGAAGGGGAATTAAAACAGAAACGTTAAAATACTACAAAAGAAACAACTGGAAATGTTAGAACTGAAAAATACAATAGCTCTAAGAAAGAATCCAAACCCAAATGCCCATCAATGATGGACTCAATAAATAAAATGTGGCACATATACACCATGGAATACTATGCAGCCATAAAAAAGAATGAGTTCACGTCCTTTGCAGGGACATGGATGGAGGTGGAAACCATCATCCTCAGCAAACTAACACAGGAATGGAGAACCAGACACCACATGTTCTCACTCATAAGTGGGAGTTGAACAATGAGAACACATAGTCACAGGGAGGGGACCATCACACACCGGGGTCTGTCAGGGGGTGGGGGGCAAAGGGAGGGAGAGCATTAGGACAAATACCTAATGCATGCGGGACTTAAAACCTAGATGACGGGTTGACAGGTGCAGCAAACCACCATGGCACATGTACACCTATGTAACAAACCTGCACGTTCTGCACATGTATCCCAGAACTTAAAGTAAAATTAAAAAAAAAAAAATCCATCAAATGAGCTTAACTGTAGCCTGAAATAGAATAAAAATATAATAAAAAGTAAAAGTCAATAAAATTATCTATACTGATTCATCAAGAAAAAGAAAAGGAGCATCAGAGACCTGCAGGACAAAATCAAACAGTATAATTTATGTATAACTGGGGCAGGTGTGGTGGCTCACACCTGTAATTCCAGCACGTTGGGAGGCCTAGGTAGGCAGATCGTTTGAGGTCACGAGTTCGAGACCAGCTGGAAGTGGTGGTGTGTGCCTGTAGTCTCAGCTACTTGAGAGACTGAGGCAAGAGAATCGCTTGAACCCAGGAGGGGGAGGTTGC